ATCATGACGGTCCTGCGCGCGAGGACCACAATCATGATCGTGATACTGCGCGCGCAGGGCGTCATCATGAGCGCGATCTCAACGCCCCAGCGCCCCAGATTCGCCAGGATCGCCAGGATCGGGACCGGGATCGCGCAGATCGCCGCACAGATTTTGCTCCTGCCGCAGTGAATCCGCGCGGGATTCCGCAGATCTCGACCCCTGGAGTAGCAGAAATCGCCGAAATGATTGCGCGCCTGGATCCTGCAGCCCAGCGCAATCTCCAGCGAATCTTCACAGGAGCTGCTGGCGAACGCGTTACAGCACGCTCCACTGCATCTACAGCGCCTCATTCTGCAGAACATAATTCTGCTCGCTACACCGACAACAATGTTAACGCCGGCACCAACAACGAGGCCATTCACCACGTTCTTGGTCTTCTCGCGGCGCTCCAGCGTGGCAATGGCGCCGATCCTGCACCGCCACCGGAACCAGCACGCGTCGCAGCGACGGTGGCCCCACGCTCTCGCCTCCCGGCGCCCGCCCCCGAGCCCGTTGACGACGAAATGGACGAGGAAGCACCCCATGCCACGCTCGACGAAGGTAATGCCGCCCGCCCGAAATCCGCTTCTGCATCGCTCACCCTCGCTCCTATTCCACCTGCACGTCCTCAGTTGCGCTCTTCCTTAGTTAAAAGCGATGGAATTCGTACGCAACTTTTTAGTTTTGAGCGCATTCAAGCTATTGCACGTCATGCTATCTCGGTTTTACCACTTGACGGTGGAGAACAAGCCGCCGACTATCTCCAGCAGATAGTAGAGGAGGCGGAAGAGAAGATTCATTTTTTGTTTACCGCCGATCAACGCGGTTTCGAAGTGGCCAATATGGCCCTTAAGATTAAGTATGGGGAAGTGGTAGAGGATAAGAATGTGAAGGCCGCTTCTCAGATTGTAGCGGCCAGCAAGAAGAGGCCGACTCGGCCCACCCATCCCACCTCCCGTCCTGAACCCCCTCTTCGCCCTCGCGGCCAAGGGGAGCGCCTTTGGAACACATGGCGTAGGGACGGCGACGGCCGTTGTTTCTATTGCCGTGAACCCGGGCATGGGATGGCTAATTGCCCCCAAAGGGGCCAAGGGGCCAATCGGCCAGCTAAGATTGTGTAAAGTTTGCTTAACCTCTCCGATGTTGTAGCGTTCTTAATTTAAAAAAAAAAAAAAAAAAAAAAAAAAACACACACACGCACATTTGTGCATTCAAGCAAGATTAATACGCGCGTCATACGGCCACATGGTCTTGCACGTTGGGCCCGTGCAAGAAGACGTGAGCGTGCCCACAAGACGCATACACAATGTGTGTGCGTCCTTTAAAGACTGACGTTGATAAGATTCATCACAAGATTTCTATGTCCATCGAAAAAAAAAAAAAAAAAAAAAAAAAAAAAAAAAAAAAAAAAACCGTATGCTCGCAAAACGATTGCGTAGCATTTGCGCAAATGCTTTGCAAACGTTTTGCGAACATGTGGGTGAACACTCCTGGCGGACTAAGATTAGAACACTTGGCAAATGCTTTGGCAACATTTCCCGAAACACTTTTTGGTTCACGACAAGGAATATATGACGACCAACTACAGCCCAAAATGCCAAGTTCACATTCCCAACCCATAGTTTATCACTTAAGGGATGACGTGGCCGAATAATAGCGAGCAAGCGGGCACCTATATCTAGCGTTTGCCTTCCTTCCAAAAAAAAAAAAAAAAAAAAAAAAAAAAAAAAAAAAAAAATCGTTGCGTTCGGAACTACATGAGGTACCTTCCTGATTCTCTACCGTCCCTATTTGTGTTCCCTCTCCTACCAGAGCTCGGAACCATTTCGGCCTATGCCGATGACGCAACCAAGATTACCCGCATGCAAGGCCGCCTCCGTGACCGCGCTGCATGGTGGTCCGCCTGGTGCGACAGCCGCTTGATTCTATCGGTGATTACATCTGGATATCGCCTACCATGGGTTGCCTCTGAGCCCCCTCCGTCTCGTACTAAGAACCATGCCGGTGCTTTGCAATTCACCTCTTTCGCCGTAGGCGCAGTGGCCGAGCTTCTCGCCACCGGCGCAGCTCGGGTCGTTCCTCCTTCCACAACCCTCACATGCGTTAGCCCCTTAAACGTGATTGTCCAACCCTCAAAAAAGAGACTGATACTGGATTTGCGGCATGTCAACTCATTCCTCTCAGTACCTCGTTTTCGATACGAAGGACTTACTCGCGTTCCTGATTTGGTGCAAGAAGGCGATTGGCTATTCACGATCGATCTCAAATCTGGATACCACCACGTCGACATTCACCCCGCTTTCTGGCAGTTTCTTGGATTCTCCTTGCAAGGGCAGGACTACCAATTCCTCTCTTTGCCTTTCGGGCTGGCTACAGCGCCGTTTGTGTTTACCCAGTTAATTAAGCAACTCGCCAAACGCTGGCGTAGCCGTGGCATCCGCCTTATTCCATACGTCGATGATATCCTATTCATCAGTGCCACTCGAGCGGAGGCTCTTCACAACCGCTCCATAATCATTGCCGACCTCGCAGCCGCGGGCTTTGTTGTGAATTTCAAAAAATCACAACTCGCACCGGCACAATCTTTGAAGTTCTTGGGCCTCTTGCTGGACACGCGCACCACCACTTTCTCGGTCGATGCGGATCGGCGCAACCGGCTTTTTGCCGAGCTGGATGAATTAGGCACACTCGGCACTAACGGGCGTCGCATCCCTGTTCGCCGCGCTGCCCGCATCACCGGCATGTTGGCCTCCATGTCCTTGGCGCTTGGCACTGTCGCGCGCGCTTTCTCCCACCACCTTCTTACGCAGATCGCCGAATGCCACTCATGGGGGGCGGCCATTCTCCTCACCCCTGAGTCTGTTGAAGAACTGCGATTTTGGCTTACACAGTTCGACGTTTTCAACGGCGCCCGCTTCCACAACCCGCATTTGTACGACGTGGTCATGTACGTGGATGCTAGCGACCATGCTTGGGGGGCTTGTTATTCAGCGCCGGATGGTCGTGTCGGCTCGCTCTCCTCCCCGCTGCCTCTAGCCCTCTTGGGCTCGTCCAGTACCCTTCGCGAGCTGGCCGGAATCTTTTGGTCCCTTTCGGCCTTTTCTGTCGAAATCCGACGTTCGCACATCTTGCTCCGCAGCGACAGTCAGGCGGCCTACTACATCCTCCAGAAGGGAGGCTCTCGCCGTCCCGAGCTTACCTTCGTATGCCGCGCGATTATTCAATTGTGCGTGCGCCATATGATCCGTCTTACGGTCCAATGGATTCCCCGTGCGCTGAATACCGAGGCTGACGCTCTGTCCAAGATTGAGCTCCACGACGACTACTCCTTGACACGACCTTGGTTCCGGCTGCTTGAGAGGCATTGGGGGCCTCATACTATCGACTTGTTCGCATCCCCTGCCAATGCGCAGCTCGCTCGTTTCTGCTCCCTCGAGTTCTCACACTCTGCGGTTGCGCAAGACGCTTTTTCTATCAATTGGGGCCACGAGAATTGCTTCGCCTTTCCTCCACCCACCCTCATCCCGGCTGTCCTAGCTCATGCCCGTCGCTCGCGCACTTCTCTCACTCTCGTGATCCCATATTGGCCCAGTGCCTTTTGGTGGCCTTTGCTAAGCTTGGACGGCTCCACTTGGGGCCCGGAGGTCGTTATGGCCCTTCGCCTTACCCTTGGTGCTAGTTGTTTACGCGTTGGCAGTGACCGTCATGCCTTTAGCGGTGCTGGTCTTCCGAACTCTCCGATGTATGCGCTTCGTTTTGCATTCAACTAATGTATCAATTTATTTCACTGCGCAGGCTCATATATTGGTCGATTATTGTCGGACCTTCTCACACTCACCGTTGATCTTCGGGCGAAGTCTACCCTTCGCACTTACGAACCCTACTGGCGACAGTTTCGAGCCTTCTGTTTGGCGCACTCACTTCCCTTCCTTCCCGCCACCGACCTGACAGCGTCCCTCTTTCTGCTGCACTCGGTCCGTCGCGGCGCTACTGTCTCAGCTGTGCGCACTGCGTGTTCCGCCATATCCTGCGCCCATTGGCTGGTTGGCCACCCCTCCCCGATTCGCGGCCCCTTTTCTTCGCAAGTCAAGGATTATGCCATGCGTCATTGTGGCAAGCCACCTCAAGCTAAGGAGCCCATTCCTCCAGCCAAGATTTACGATATCTGTGACATCTACTTCTCATCGCATGATCCGGCCACCTTCCAGCGGGGCCTTATTCCCCTCCTCATGTTCGCAGCCTTCCTTCGTTTCTCTGATCTCGTCTCCCTCCAGTGGCACCAGATCGAGTTCGATCGGGACTGCATGTGGTTGTTCATCCCTCGTTCGAAGACCGACCAAGCTGGCACCGGTGTTTGGGTCCCAGTGGCTGCTTCTTCTGCCCGCCACTGTCCGGTGTCGCGTGTCCAACAATTCCTCTTCCTGGCTGGCTATTCTCCGCGGACCCTTGGCCCCCTTATTCGTATATTTCAGCCGGGTGCCCGAGCTTCCCCCTCAGATCGCTCTCCCTCGTACGCCGCCATTCGGGGTTGGTGTCGAGATGCTTTCTCCCGTGTAGGCCTTAACCCGGCCCTCCTGGGCACCCATTCTTTCTGCAAGGCGGCTGCGACGGTCGCCGTTGATATTGGAGTCCCCGACCGGCTTTTCAAGGCCCTAGGTCGCTGGCGAAGTGATACAGCCAAGGAGCTTTACATTACTCAGCTTGACCGCGAGCTAGTGGCTGCTTCTCGCGCGCTACAAGATCCTACTCGCTCGAGCGCGACCGATCAATACCAGGCCACCCTCGAGCGCCACCGCCGACGACCTACCACTTGATGTCTCGTTTGACCTATGACGACTGCACTGCACACTCCTCTGAGGTCGTGTCACAATATGAGAAATTTTTTTGTAGTAAAAAATTTACAGATTGTGATTCGACTAGAAGAGGAGTTTGCTGTAAAGGAGACAAACTCCTTCATCTATCGGCAGGTCTTTCAGACCTGCCACCTAGTCTCATTTGCATTTTTCTGTTCCAACTTGCCCACCCTTCCCTCCCATGCTTTGATAACTAGCATGGCCTGCTCACCCTTGTTCCCTTGCCATGTATTTGCCCTATCTAGTGTGCTGTACTATGGAGCTATGATATGCTATGACGACTGCACTGCACACTCCTCTGAGGTCGTGTCACAATAATATATGAGTCCTAATTCACGAGGATTTTTTTGGGGACCAACCCTGAAAAAACAGAGAAAAACTCAGGGGGGATCCTCCTGAGCGATCATCAGGGCTCCTAAAAACCAATCTAGACTCTTGACTCTTGCGATTCTGAGTGTTGAGTTGCATGGTCAACGGACTGCGACCGTTGCCCTTTCGTAATCTCTGAGGTGTCTTCTATCTGTGTGAATCGTCGGGGGTACTGTAGCAGTGTTGACTCAGTAATCCTCGCTGTTGTAGTCTTCGCGTATTTCGTACACTCACACGAGACTCCGGAAATGCCTCAAGTCCTTCTATCATTTCCAACAGTTACAACTGCACATGCTTGCAAGCAGAATGCACATGGCATGGTTGTTGGCTAAGCTCGCAATCAGCTGAAATTATGCGTTGATGTTGTTGGTGTTGCTAGTTACCCCGGGTGGCCCCTTGCAGATTTGCACCAAACAGGTTCGCTCCTCCTAGCATCTGAGCCAAAAGAAACACAGGAGGCGCATCGTGCAATGCAAGAGAGAAAGACAGCATGAGAGGAAGACAGCATGAGAGGAGAGCAGTTCCCAACAAAGACACAGAACGCAGGGTAAACAGATACAAATGAACGGTCCTAGCAAAAAAATATATGTTGTGTCACCCACTCACCCACCCACCCGCGCCTCTCTGCCCTCAACCATAACTGGTACTTTTTCTCCCCTTTTCTCCCTCCCCCCTCCCCTCCCCCCACTCTCTTCCCTTGTCTAGCCCGCCCTCACCATATCTCTCAAGTCAAGTCCACCCGTAGCAGGTATGCCCGTTTCTTCTCCCCCCCCCCCCTCCCTCTCCCCCCTCTCGTCCCCACTGTAGCCCGCCCTCACCGTGTCTCTCAAGTCCACCCCTCGCAGGTATGCCCTCTGTAAGTTCGCCCCCTCTAAGTTCGCCCCATTCAACTTTGCTCCCTGCATACAGGGACAAGAGGGTAAGGGGAGGGGGGAGGGGGAGAGGGGGAGAGGGGGAGGGGGGTTTGGGGGGAGGGGAAGAGAGATATTGGGAGGGGGGATGGCACAATGCCAAGGAGCCCCCTCGTGGTTTGCCAAATTCATCTTCGTACGTGATGCATGTGGGAAAGGGGAAAGAGGAGGAGAGACGAAGGGGGAGGGGGGGTAGAGAGGAAGTGTGGGTGGGGAGGCGAAGGAAGTGTGAGACACGCCCGCGAGGGGGGGAGAGGAGGGGTTGTAGGAGGATGTGCAGCGCTGTGCACATGTGGCATCTAGTACGTGCATGCATGGATGGTACATGGACAGGCGGCACATGGGCATGCTCATGCACGAACACAGAAAGTTGCCAGGACATGTTGGTGGCATGTTGGTGGCATGTTGGTGGCATGTTGGTGGCACGTGCATCTCATGTGCATGGCATGTGGAAGCCATGTGTCCCTCCCTCACTTTAAGGTTAGCGCCTTCCAGATTAGCAGAGGACAGGTTCGCGTTCGTCAGGTCCGCATTCTGCAGTGGAAGGGGAGGAGGATTGAGGCAGAGGCGTGGGGAGGGGGAAGGGGGTGGGGGTGGGGGTTGGGGGGGAATGAAGAGGAGGGGATGTGGTTTGTGGTGTGGCACGGAGGAAATTTAGAGATGGTGAGAGATGGTTGGTGCACGGTTAGGGTGATGCGGGCATAGTACCTGCTTGGAGAGACAGCAGGAGGGGAACCGAAAAAAGGTACAGAAAAGCAATGGGGGAGCCAGAAAGGTCGGGGGTGATCGGGAAGAGAGGGGGAAAGAGAAGGGCGGGGGGGAGTGGAGGATGGAAGGGGTTTCGGGTTTCGGGTTTGGGGTGGAAGTGGCAAACTTTTGTTGACGATTCCGAAGGACTGGTCTGACCTGCAAGTGCGCTGATCGAAGGTCCGCCCCACACAGGCTCGCATCTACGAGACACGCATCTGCACGCAGAGGGGGAGAGGAGAGGGCAGGGGGAGGGGGAGGGGGGACGGGGGAAGGGGAAAGAGGGAGGGGGTAGGGGGGTTACTGCGTGTTGGGGGCGAATGGTTGGAGAGGGTAGTGAGAGCAGAGAAAGCTACATAGAGCGCCAAGACGACCACTGCAACGACTTGCGATTTCAAGTATCGCACCAGCAAAGCAAGCACCAGCAGGTGTGAGCAGTGGCGCACCAGCGGCACACCAGCAAGTGCCAGCAAGTACCAGCAGCACGGCACACCAGCGGAGCACCTTGGAAGTTGGCACTGGCGAGCGTGGCGGCAGAGAGCACGGCGGAGCGCAGCGTGGCCTTCTCAAAGTCGCACTCCTTGAGCGTCGCATTGTGGAAGTTGCACCCGTCCGCCACCGCCTCCTGGGAAAGGGGAAAGTTGAAGGGGAAGGGGGGGGGGAGAGGGGGGGGAGGGGGGGGGCACAGCGCGGCGTGGCATGGCATGGCAGGGCAGGGCAGGGCAGGGGGAAATGGGGGAGCGGAGAAAGTTGGGAACGGTGAAGGGAGGAAGAGATGTGCAGGTATGATGGTACTGATGGTGGCAGGGTGTGCGCGCGGAAAGGCAGGCGCTAAGGCAGGAAGGAACACCACAGCATTGCTCAATACACTTGGGAGAGAGCGTGGGGCTCACTACTCTTGGGAGAGAGCGTGGGGTTCACTACTCTTGGGAGAGAGCGTGGGGCTCACTACTCTTGGGAGAGAGCGTGGGGCTCACTACTCTTGGGAGAGGGCGTGGGGCTCACTACTCTTGGGAGAGAGCATGGGGCTCACTCCTCTTGGGAGAGAGCACAGGGCTCACTACTCTTGGGAGAGAGCGCAGGGCTCACTACTCTTGGGAGAGAGCGCGGGGCTCACTACTCTTGGGAGAGAGCGTGGGGCTCACTACTCTTGGGAGAGAGCGTGGGGCTGACTACTCTTGGGAGAGAGCGTGGGGCTCACTACTCTTGGGAGAGAGCGTGGGGCTCACTACTCTTGGGAGAGAGCGTGGGGCTCACTACTCTTGGGAGAGGTCACTCTTGGGAGAGGGCGTGGGGCTCACTACTCTTGGGAGAGAGCGTGGGGCTCACTACTCTTGGGAGAGTGCGTGGGGCTCACTCCTCTTAGGAGAGAGCGCGGGGCTCACTACTCTTGGGAGAGAGCGCGGGGCTCACTACTCTTGGGAGAGAGCGCGGGGCTCACTACTCTTGGGAGAGAGCGTGGGGCTCACTACTCTTGGGAGAGAGCGTGGGGCTCACTACTCTTGGGAGAGAGCGTGGGGCTCACTACTCTTGGGAGAGGGCGTGGGGCTCACTACTCTTGGGAGAGAGCATGGGGCTCACTACTCTTGGGAGAGAGCGTGGGGCTCACTACTCTTGGGAGTGAGCGCGGGGCTCACTACTCTTGGGAGAGAGCGCAGGGCTCACTACTCTTGGAAGAGAGCGCGGGGCTCACTACTCTTGGGAGAGAGCGTGGGGCTCACTACTCTTGGGAGAGAGCGTGGGGCTCACTGCTCTTGGGAGAGAGCGTGGGGCTCACTACTCTTGGGAGAGGGAGTGGGGCTCACTACTCTTGGGAGAGAGCGTGGGGCTCACTACTCTTGGGAGAGGGCGTGGGGCTCACTACTCTCTTGGGAGAGAGCGCGGGGCTCACTACTCTTGGGAGATGGCGCGGGGCTCACTACTCTTGGGAGAGAACGTGGGGCTCACTACTCTTGGGAGAGAGCGTGAGGCTCACTACTCTTGGGAGAGAGCGTGGGGCTCACTACTCTTGGGAGAGAGCGTGGGGCTCACTGCACTTGGGAGAGAGCGTGGGGCTCACTGCACTTGGGAGAGAGCGTGGGGCTCACTGCACTTGGGAGAGAGCGTGGGGCTCACTGCACTTGGGAGAGGGCGGGGGCTCACTGCACTTGGGAGAGAGCGTGGGGCTCACTCGGAAGAGAGCGCACTGCAGGTTGGCCCGGGAGAAGAAGGTGCCGACGAGGCGAGAGAAGCTGAAGTCCACAGCCGAGAGATCCTGATGAGCAGAAGAGGGGCAGCGAGAGGAGGAGAGAGGAGAAGAGAGGAGGAGAGATGAGGAGAGGAAAGAAGAGAGAGGAGGAGAGGGGGAGAAGGGAGTAGAGGGGGGAGAGAATAGGAGGGGAGAGGTGAGGAGGCGGTTGGAACAAAGCGAGGCAGTGAGGTAGACTGAGGATGGATCCTGGGGCGAACAGGGAGGGCGGGGTGATGGAATGGAAGGGAGGGGGGAGCGGAGAGGAGGGGAGGCTACTAACAGTTTTCGGTGAACGCGTAGGGTAAAGAAAGGGGTGAAAGGTGAAAAATGGAAGGCGAAAGATAAACGATGAAAGATGCCGTGAAAGATGAGGGATGAAAAGGGATGAGTTTTGAGTCGGCTCAAAAGATAAATGACGAAAGGTACCGTGAAAAACGAGGGATGAAAAGGTGAGAGGTGGAAGGTGAAATGTGGGAGGGGAAGGGTCGAAGATGGAAGGAGGAACGTGAACAGTGGGAGGGAGGTGCGTTGGGGATCGGACCAGTTTGGAGAGGTTGATCCCGCTGAGGTTGACCCCTCGTAGCCGCACTCGCTTGCTTTGAATCGCCATAATCACCTGGTGCCGCCGCCGCACATGCATAAGCGTGGGGGTGGGGGGGACGGGGAGAGGGGGTGAAGTAGGGGGGCAGTGGTGGAGGTAGAGAGTGGGTAACGAGCAAGCGAGCATGAGGAGGAAGTTGTACGTACGTGGGGAGCATGCGCTGTCACCAGGGTGTCGGAAGGTTAGGCGGAGGAATGGGGGGGAGAAGCAAGGAAGCGGGGAAAACCAAGGCGCAGAGCAGCACCATTCCGTTCCAGCATGTGAACCCACAAGGCCGTTGCGAATGAAGCAATCGACAGCATGACATGACGTGATGGCAGGGGGTAGGGTAGGGTAGGGTAGGGTAGGGTAGGGTAGGGTAGGGTAGGGTAGCGTAGGGAAGGGTAGGTATCAGCAGCAGGCATGTGTGGTGAGAGAGGCGAGAGCGCAAGAGACAGAGCGAAAGCGCGAGGGAGAGAGGGCGCGAGAGCGAGAGAGACAGAGAACGAGACAGTGAGACAGTGAGCGACCTCTTTGCGGCTGAGCTCTGGCACATCATCGTCCTCCACTTTGAGCGTCGCCACTAGCTGACCATGGAACTCCTGAGGGCCGGGGGCGGGTAGGCACAGGCGCAGGGGGCACGCAGACGCAGGGGGCACACAGGCACAGGGGGCACACAGGCACAGGGGGCACACAGGCACAGGGGGCACACAGGCACAGGGGGCACACAGGCACAGGGGGCACACAGGCACAGGGGGCACACAGGCACAGGGGGCACACAGGCACAGGGGGCACACAGGCACAGGGGGCACACAGGCACAGGGGGCACACAGGCACAGGGGGCACGCAAGCACAGGGGGCGGGCAGGCACAGGGGGCGGGTAGGCACAGGGGGCGGGCAGGCACAGGGGGCAGGCAGGCACAGGGGGCGGGCAGGCACAGGGGGCGGGCAGGCACAGGGCGCGGGCAGGCACAGGGGGCGGGCAGGCACAGGGGGCGGGCAGGCACAGGGGGCGGGCAGGCACAGGGGGCGGGCAGGCACAGGGGGCAGGCAGGCACAGGGGATGAGAAAGGGAAAGGGATTGCTGCTGAATGCGCTGCTGCTCATGTTGCTCATGGTACATGCCCAAAACAGGCACCTGAAAACTACAGCCCACAAGGCCTCGCCTCACCACAAGCACACGTTCACACACGCATGCAGAGATCTGACTGTCTGTGAACCCACCCCGAGCTGGCTGGCAGTACTCCGCCTCGCGCATGAGCGTGGATGGCATGGGAGTACCCCGAGCTCGTGGATGGGCGCCACGTGTAACAGCGGCAGCACGGCCTTTTCCCTCGTGCACTCCCTCAGCCGTGCACATCCCGAGACCCACCCACCCACACCCACCAACGTAATCTCCCCAACACCCCCCCCCACACACACGCACCCCGAGCTGGTAGTATTCACCCCGCGCATGAGCTCGTGGAAGAGCCCACGTCCGTCAGGCTCCAGCGGCACGGCGCCAAGACCAAACCTCGCACACAATACCCACTCACATACCCACTCACATACCCACTCACATACCCACTCACATGCCCACTTACACACCCACTCACATACCCACTCACATACCCACTCACATACCCACTCACATACCCACTCACATACCCACTCACACACCCACTCACACACCCACTCACATACCCACTCACATACCCACTCACATACCCACTCACATACCCACTCACATACCCACTCACATACCCACCCACATACCCACCCCGAGCTGGTAGTACTCCGCCTCGCGCATGAGCTCGTGGAAGAGCGCCACGTCCAGCAGTGGCACGGCGCCGTCCCGCAGCCAGTTGAGCACGTGGCGGAAGTGACGCCCGTCGCGGTCTATGAACACCGACGACTGGTGGTGGGGGGGAGGTGGGGGGAGGTGGGGGGATGGGGGGATGGGGGGGATGGGGGAGATGGGGGAGATCGGGCGGACGGGGAAATGGGGAATGGGGAGCAGAGGAGGCAGGAGGGACTCTTCGTCTCTGCCTTGTCCCCTTAGGCGAAGGGGGAGGGGTGGTGGGAGGAAGGTGGGGAGGGGTGGCGCGGCAGTGGGGATGGGGGCCGCGTGGAGAAATGGAGAAAGAGGACGCGTGTTGGGACGTCGCGACGTTGCTACCCACCCACCTCCCCACCCACCCACCCACGCACCCACCTTGTTGGCGCTGTCGTAGTGCAGCGCGTGGCGGCCGCTGAACATGGCGGCCAGCATGGAGTCGCTGTCCCTCTGCGTCACCGTGTCCACCGTCGTCTCGTAGCACGTGCCGCCTGGCGCCGCCGCGCAGGGGAGAGAGGGGAGGAGGCGCGGGGGAGGCGGAGGGGAGGGAGGGGAAGGAGGGAGGGAGTTGGGGTTGAGAATGGAAGGGGAAGGGAAGTAAGGGCTGTTGAATATAAAGTGGTCAATGCGCGTGCTATGCGGGAGAGCGCAAAGCCATTCAGTCCCATATCGCGATGTTTTTCCCCTCCCACCCCCCCATTCCCCCAACATCCCCCCACCAACTCCCCCCTTCCCCCCAGGCCAGCGCAGCCTCCCCCCTGCCCCCTGACTCACCCACGTTGATGCACACGCGCGACGACCCCGCTTCTCTCTCCCCGCAGTCTCTGCCGCCGTCCATGCCGTGTGCCATCAGCCGACCCCCGCCGGTAACCCTAACGGCCAACCACCCTACCGGCCGACAACCCTACCGGCTACCCCCTCGATTGGCGGTCCACTCTGCCAGACAGCCGGCCTAACTGACAGTTTCACAGCTTCGCGGCAGCTATTCCGGCAGAATTGTTGCGAGGAGATTAGTCCAGCTTGAAGTAGTTAACAGAGTCAGACAATCGCGAACGGAGGTCGCTAAGTAAGTCCGGGATAACGCCTAGCTTATGAGACCCTTCGAGGCGAAGGAGCGATAGGGGAGGGAAGAGAATGGGATAGGGGAAGGAGGAGGTTACGGCGGCCGTCAAGGTCGGCAAGGTCGAAGTGCTCCAGCGGGAGGAGAGATAGCGGGAGGGACTCCCCGGGAAGGAGGAGCAGAACTGTGCGAAGGAGCGGTGGGTGAGGAGACTTAAGAGAGTGTGGAGGAAAGTGACGGAACATATAAACGAGAAGTGTGTATAGAGGACTGACATAAACAGTTGGCGTCACAATCCCCACAGCATTGCCAATTTTCCACTCAAAGCAAGTGGTTGGGCAATCGGCTCTCATCAAGGCGTGTCACTAAAAATCGTTTTTGGAAAAATACCATACTAAAACGTTTTGAAATTTTATTCTACCGTTCTAGAACGCTCAATATCTTCGCGAACCGCAATCTGACATACTACTGTGACATGCCCGCAGTCGCGGCGGCCCTCAAACTCCTGCTGATGAGAAGGAGCAGGCATGGCCAAACTGTTTTTCCTGGAACACCCACCAATGGCAGCGGGGACATTCTCGGGCATCATTTCCCCCAATCATCGAACGTCGCGAACCAAAAGGAACTCCATCAGCATCCAACAAGCTGACCGAGTTGAAACTGGGCTTTGAGCATTGGTTGTGTCATGTAGTGAAAAGGCTTCTGCTTCACGGCCAATATCCAGTACTGAATGCCCCACTAAAAGATTTAGGGAGGTTGTTTGGACATTACAAGGTAGTTTACAGCTAAAGCCTCATTGGCCTTGTAAAAGTGAATAGTGTCTTTGTAAATGCATAAGGTCCCAAGGTGGCATGTCGTAGGATGCGAACTCCAAGTATACCCTCATCATTTTGCAAGATGATTGGGGCTGAAGGAGTGTCATTTTAGGCTAGACAAGCTGTAATGTTAATGCAACTCACAAGGGTCTAAAAGTACTATACCTAGGAATGTAACTGCAGATATACTGCAACAGAGTGTGTAGCAAGAGTTATTCTTCCCCCTTTAACCCCCGCCCAACTCTCAGAATAACGCATTGACTAGAATGGAGGGTGCAGGGAAACTTTGTGCTAGTGAGTTGTACTCTCTAAGAGCGTGCACCTATCTAGCCTATAATAACATCAGCAGCATATATGTTTGACACATCCCCTAAGCTAGACAACGGGCACATCTTGGCAAGAGGCACGCAGCATAGGGTGGCACTACTAGTCCAACCTCTGACGCAAGGGTCAAAATGTTAGAATGCAAGAATAATGACTAGTGTGAGAAACTTAGAACATATACCTGTTGGGGTTGTACTCACTAGAAGCACACACCTAGGCTAGCCTATAACTTCTACATACAATATATATATAAGTTGACACACCCCCTAGGCTAGAGAAGGGGTGGTGCTAAGCAAGAAGCACACAGCTCAGGGCGGCACTACTAGTCCAACCACTGAGGCAGGGGTCCGGAGACCAGTCAGCAAGAGTACAAACAAGACTACAGCAAACCAGGGCGGCACTACTAGTCCAGCCATTAGAGGCAAGGCCACAAGGCCAGTCAGACAGGTATATATAATAGAGAGTACACAATCAGGGTCCTAACAAGTGAGCAGCTACAGGAACAAGACCAAGCTGCACACAGTGTCGCTAATGATCTTTAGGCGCAAGCGCCTTCGTAAAGATATCAGCTGTGTTGGCACCTGAGGCCAAGTGAACTACGCGGGCCTGGCGACGCTACTGTAGCTCGTGCAGGAGGAAGTACCGCAGCTGGATATGCTTCGCTCTGCCCTCAAGCCGAGGCTCCTGACACAGGAGAATCATGGCCCTGTTGTCAGCGTACAGGACCGGGGCAGAGCTGGGCCGCTCACCTAAGTCTGTAAGCAAGAAGGTCAGCCAGCGGAGCTCGTGTGCCGCCATGGCACCAGCGTAGATCTCAGCCAGATAGCTGGACTGAGAAACAGACGACGAGCGAGTGGATCTCCAAGAGATAGCACCCGAACCAAGGCTAAAACAGTAGCCCTGTGACGACCTGAGTGTCTCAGAGTCGTCTGCCCAAGAAGCGTTTGTGTGCCCAGTGAGGACCACCGGCCAGCGTTCTCCTAGCACTAACCCCATGCCCCATGTACTTGCTAGATATCGCAAAACCCTCTTAGCGGCCGACCAGCGCTGTGGTCGGTGTCTGCCGGTGGCCACAAAGTGAGCCAGGATGCTGAGAGGGTATGCGAGATTTGGGCGAGTGCAAGTCATCAGGTACATGACGAAACCCACCAGCTCTGCGTAGGGGTCGCTGGGCTCTACTGGCTCCTCAGGAACGGGAGCGGAGAGCCCATGGTCTACAGATAGAGGTGTGGGCTGTACAGAGGAGAACTGAAGACCGAACCTCTGAAGGACCTGACGCACCAAGTGTGACTCTGTCAGAGTGATGGTGCGTACTGCTCTGTCCCTGGAGATTTGCAGGCCAAGATAGCGACGCAGCTCTCCAAGGTCAGTGCAGGTGTGTCTCTTCAACAACTCGGCCTTCACGGAGGCCAGTGCGTCCCTGTCAGCAGTAGCGAAGACCAGGTCGTCTACGTAGACAATGATGTAGAACGGAGTCTGGCCAGAACGCACAAAAAGTGAGGGGTCAGCAGAGGACGGAAAGAATTGCAGGTCTGCTAGCGTGGCACGCAGCATGTCGTGCCACTCGCGGGGAGCCTGGCGCAGGCCGTAGACCGGGCGCCTGAGAAGCCACTGAGTCCCAGGGGGGAAGGTACCAGTGAAGCCCTGTGGTTGGCGCAGGTAGATTTGCTCGTGTAGGCTGCCCTGAAGAAAGGCAGTAGAGAAGTCGAGGGAGTGAAGCTTATAGTCGAGCTGTGCTGCTATGTATAGCAGCGCCCGAAGAGTGGTCATCTTCGGGGTCGGGGCAAAGGCCTGGAAGAAGTCCACCCCCTCGCGCTGGCTGAAGCCTCTAGCCACGTAGCGCGCCTTGAAGACATGCGGCTCTCCAGGGGGGCGCTTCACCTTGAAGAGCCACCGACCATCGACTACGTTCACCCAAGGAGGGGGAACTGTGTCGACGTAAGTGCCGGTGGACCTCCAAGATGCCATCTTCTGCTCCATGGCAGCTATCCACTGAGAGGCCCAGGGTCCCGAGGTGGCCTCAGCGTAGGTGCGAGGGGTCGGGATGTCGAAGGTGTCAGGGTCACCCTCTGGGACTAGGAGCATGGAGCAGAGATAGGGAGCGGCCTCAGAAAGGAAAGCAAGCTCGTACTGCCTGTCCTCTTGAACGTCACTGCCAAGGGTAGGTGCACCCCCGACGGACGGAGGACAGGCAAGGTCAGAGACCAGAGCGATAGCGTAGTCAAGGCGGCGGGAAGAGGCGAAGTCAGCGACAGCAGCAACACGTGCGTCAAGGCGCGAGACAGGAAAAGACGAGTCTGTAACAAGAGAGGCAAGGACCCGAGGGGCAAGGGGATGAGCGGCACGGATGTAGTCAGACAGCGGGGGAGGTGCAACAACAAGCGACGAGGGAGGAGGTGAGGGGAGGAGGGGAGGACGAAATGAGTGAGAATGGAGCAACATAGGGTGGGAGCGTAGGACAGGGGAGACGGGACGAGCATGGGAGGGGCGTCGGGACCAAACGTGGGACGGATGTGTAGGGTCAGGAGACAGCGGAGGGGACACAAAAGGGGAACGAGGAGGAAGACGGGCCGGAGAAGAGTCCGGGGGCGGGAACACAGGGCCGTAGACAGGAAGGTGAGAAGGTGGTGGGGGAGACACCGGCGAGCGGTCAGGGGAGGGAAGGCCGAGCAGACGAAGAGTGGAGACTGGCGGCGACGGCTGTGGTGGCTGCTGTGAGGACTGGGTCTCGACCCACGGACTGTCACGGGCACGACGACCGCCGGGAGAACACTCAACGGCAGCACCCCCACAACCAACACGCCCAACGCGAGAACCCCCGCCAGCACCAGCGGCACCCCCAGGCCCGTCGGGACAGACCACGCCAGGAGTCGCAGGACGAACACTCTCCTCAACGCCGGCACCCCCAGAGGCCAAGAGCGGCAGCGGCGGCGGCGGCGGCTGCGACAGCGAAGACGGAGACACCGGGGAAGGGAGACGCGGCAAGGACGGGCCGGGGGAACCACCAGAGTCAGCAGACTCCTCAATGGGGACAACCGACGGGAGGGGAGTGACATGCGAGACACCAGACGGGGCAGGACGAGGCGGGAGGGGAGCAGGGGCTACCGAGGGAGAGGGAGCAAGGAACAGGGGGGGGGAAACCGGGAGACCTCAGTGAGGGAAGCGACGGTAGAAGGAGACAGACTCGTCAAAGGTGACGTCACGAGAGTAAAGGAAGCGGTGAGACTGCGGGTGGTAGAAGAGCCAGTCAGACAGTCCAGGGGGAAACCAAGGAAGACACAGGGGACAGTGCGGGCAGTGATCTTGTCCATGCCAGAGGCACGAACGTGAGCAAGGCAGCCCCAGACGTGGAACGCAGACGCGTCACCGGGGGACCTGGTCCAAAGGAGGGTCGGCAAAACCTGCGGCCGCTGGGAGCGTGGCCACAAGTTTAGATGGTGAGCAGCGTAGCGAACAGCGAACGGCCACAGAAAATGGGGGGCATCGGCATGAATCATGGAGATATGAGCAACTTCCATGACCAAGCCGATGCGGCACTCAGCAACCCCATTCTGCTGTGGCGAGTCCGGCAAGGTGTACGACTGGGTGATGCCCTCCGCACGACAGAACTGGCCAAGCCGACCAGAGGCGAACTCGCCGCCACGGTCAGAGTGGAGACACAACACGGGAAGACCGCGGTGAAGACGTGCAGCCACAACCCACGGGAGGAGAACATCGGGTACGTCGGCCTTTCGCTCCAGGGGAAACACCGTGGTGTAGCGCGTGTAGTCCTCGACGAGCACAAGAAAGTAGCGCTCACCTCGCGGATCAGGGACATGGGCTGGGCCCCAAACCTCCAGGTGCAGGGTCTAAAGGGGAGCAGTAGTAGGGCGAAGCGAGGAGGAGTGAGGGGCACAGCGGAGCTGGCCCTCGACGCAAGGTGTGCACGGTGGAGCGGTCAAGGGGGGGAGGGCGGGGAGCGACGCGGGGAGGCCTAAGACAAGACCGTGCTGGGACATGTGACGTAGACGTGGGAGAGCAGGGTGACCTAAGCGGTGGTGCCACAAAAGGGATGGGTGAGTGAGGGACCGACACGAGCAAGCTGCAACGACCTGGGAGGACGCACCAACCAGGGGGGAAGCGGTGGCGAGGGTAAACAGACCGGACACC